AGGAGGGAGGTTTGCAAAATGGAAAGAAACCCAGAATTGACAAATTAATCTGACAGTCACAAAGTGGAAAATTGTATGGAAATGTGCATCAAGAGGCACTTTGTAGAACACTCACAAAAGCTAAAGGAAGGCAGTCAGATGTTCAAAGGAAACTAAGAAAATGAAAAATAAAATGAAAGATTTCCAAAGTTATAAAAGAGAGAAAATGTAAATTATAACTGGGTTGGCAGTGAAAACTATTTGCAGAGTCATAATAAAGGAAAGCCTGAGATACTGAATGATTAGATGGGGAGAATCAGGGGAAAAAATTCATAAGATTTAAAATAGATGAATCAACAGATAGCCATATACTTTACTAACATCAGTTCGGTTCAGTTCAGTCTCTCAGTCGTGTCTGACTCTTTACGGCCCCATGGACTCTTTCCAGGCCTCCCTGTCCATCACCAACTCCCAGAGTTTACTCAAACTCATGTCCATTGAGTCGGTGATGCCATCCAGCCATCTCATCCTCTGTCGTCCCCTTCTCCTCCTGCCCCCAATCTCTCCAGCATCAGGGTCTTTTCCAGTGAGTCAGTTCTTCTCATCAGGTGGCCAAAGTATTGGAGTTTCAGCTTCAGCATCAGTCCTCGCAATGAATATTCAGGACTGATTTCCTTTAGGATGAACTCGTTGGATCTCCTAGCAGTCCAAGGGCATCTCAAGAGTCTTCTCCAACACCACAGTTCAAAAGCATCAATTCTTTGGCACTCAGCTTTCTTTATAGAAAACTTCATTAACATATTCAGAGCCAAATAACAAAAGACAGCTAAGGGAGTGTGGCTGGATGAATAACGGCCCCCTCAAAGAGCTCCACATCCTAACCCCTGCACGCTGTCTGTGAAAGTGTTAGTCGCTCAGTCTTGTCCAATTCTTTGCAACCCCATGGACTGTAGTCCACCAAGCTTCTCTGTCCATGGAATTCTCCAGACAAGAATACTGGAGTGGGTAGCCATTCCCTTCCCCAGGGGATCTTCCCGACCCAGGGATTGAGCCCAGGTCTCCTGCGTTGCAGGCAGATTCTTTACCATCTGAGCCACCAGGGAAGCCTCAGAAGCTGTCAGTGTTACCTTATATGACAAAAGGGACTTTGTAGAAATCAAGAATCGGGACACAGAGAGGAGCACCTGTGTGGTACGGGTAGAACCAATAGAATCACAGTGGTCCCTATAAGAGGAAGGCAAGAAGGTCAGAGTAGAGAGGAGGTGATATGACGATGAGATTAGAGTGAGCCACAGGTCAAGGAAGGGCTTCCCAGGTGGCTCAGTAGTAAAGAATCTGCCTGCCAATGCAGGAGACACAAGAGATGCAGGTACCATCCCTGGGTAGGGAAGAGCCCTGGAAAAGGAAATGGCAACCCACTCCAGTATTCTTGCCTGGAGAATTCCATGGACACAGGAGCCTGGTGGGCTGCAGTCCATGGGGTCACAAAGAGTTGGACACAACTGAGCAGATAACACACACACACCCACACACACACACACCCACACACACACACACACACACACGGGTTAAGGAAACAAAGAATGGCGGCAACAGCCAAGAGACACTGGGAGAGGCAAAGAGCAGATTCCTCCTCGAGCCTCCAGAAGAAACCAGCCCCACTGACACCCTGACTTCAGTCCCTTCCTCCTCACATCTGACTTCTGACCTCCAGAACTGCAGAGATTCCATTTGTGTTTGAAGCCCCTAAAATGGCAAAAATTCACTACAGCAGCAAAGGAAATGTTTTACTAAGAATGTAAAGAACTGGAATAGAAGTGGGTTTGAATGGCATGTGAGGGACCTGTGCCTTTCAGTGTTGACTTTTTAAAGGACATGTGACACATGGATAGAAATTAAAGCAACCTGCAGTAAGTGTTCAGAGTGGTGGCAGTGAAAGTGGTAGCAGTAGTGGCCAGAAAGGCATGAATTAGCGAGCAGTGCTCCTCAAACATAAACGTGCACAGACTTCAGCTACAGCCCATGTTAAACTGTGGGTGCTGATTCAGGTCTGGAGCATCATTCGGGCACCACCTCTACTGCTGGGCCATGGCCCACACCTGAAGCAGCAGAGACCTAGACTGCAGGACCACAGAGAGGTGGGTTGTGGGGGGAGAAGATGGAGGGATGGAGGCACAGATAGGGCTTTGTGCATAAGCTAAGGCATTTTGACTTGACTCTTGAGGACAGGGGGAGCCACTGGACCATGCAACTACAGGATGAGGTGGTATTTTTCTCAAAGGATTAATCTCAGTAGAAGAGGCAGGGGGAAGCAAACCAGAGACTGGTAGTACAGTGATGGTGCAACTGGAAACATTCTATGATATGACTCGGCGGGGGGGGGGGTGGGGAATAATGCTGCTGGTACGTCTGCTTCCACACCCAGTATAGAGAACTACGTCCGTCCATGTGCGAGTGAACACTGTGAATCCCTCCTCTCTGATGTTCTGACCTACAGGAATTTCCTTGTTTTTTACACTGGCATCATATACAGTATTTATTAAATTCCCATCTGCCATGGTAGCCCCACATTTAAAGAAGTGGGAAGAACAACCATTTTCTCAGGAAAATTGCATTATGGAGTAAAACTGAAATAGCTTTAAAAAAAAATTGAAACCTTGCAGCTCCTCACACCCCACATATTTGGGTATCACGCAGTGTCACCTTCTGCGCATTGACCATAGTTAAAGCAAACTGCAGGTGTCTTCCTTTAAATTCACAGAGGTGTAGTGTGCATATTTGATTTTCCTAAAGCATTAAAAAAATGGTTCTGCAATGCATTCTCTGAGGAATTCTATGCATATGGATTAGACAGTATGAGAAGACTATAATATGGGTAACAAGTCAGTAAATATATTGAACACCCACAAATTATTAATACTTTGGTGTCAAAATGGGAGCAGCTGTTGAATGCTGTTGGTGAGGAGCCATCCTGGGTGCAATCCTGCCCCATATTTTCTATTAATAGCCTGAGGATCTTATGACTAAGGCGCTAATCAATCCACAGGAAATGCAGCTCTGGGAGAGATTACTAATGCTTGGACAACAATATTGAAATTCCAGGAGGATCTTGTCCAATTGAAGAAACGAGCCAAAATCAATAGTGCAAGCGCACAGGTGTTTCAGTTACAGGATTCAAGACCCTTCAAACAGAAATCAAGACCATCCTGCCAGCCAAACACCCAGGTGGTAAAGCTATTCAATGCCTGTCTTGCCTCCCCTCCTCCGTCATGAAAAGGCCGTGTAGACATATGTCAAGGAACATCTCTACACGGGATTAACCCTACTACCTATAGCTCCTCAAAACTTCTTCCTCCAGTACCCTGCAATGAGAGGGACAATGGATTTGATATGACTGGTGAAGCCCACATTTAGCAAATCTGGACTTTGGAACACCATGGTCTTCAATGCAGGGGAAAAATAAGAAGCAATGAGAGGTTTCTGGTAAGAGTAGAATGACCTTTTCCCAAGGAGCATCATAGTATCTTCCTGACATTTTAAAATGCAATCACTAAAGAGAAGGAGGGCTGGGGGAAGAGGACAATCAGATGTCTCTAACAACCTCTCGTTTACCTACCCAGACCCTGAAAAGCTGTCTTTCTAAAACCTAAAACAGCCTTTTCTTTCAATTACAACCCTTTCCCATGGTCCTCCTTGCCCCCACTTGGTCAGTCAGTAACCAAGCTCTGCCCTTTTCACCTCCTAAGTGTTCCTCTGACCTACATTCTCATCTCCATCCTCTCACCCACCACTCTACTTCAGACCTTCATCATTGCTCGCTGAGTCTAATGTGGAAGCCTCAGAGACCTCTCTGTTATTTCAGACCCATCCTTCACCTGGTTACCAGTGTGATCCAGTAGCCAAAATGCAAATGGGACCTTGAAGCTTCCCTGTTTAAAACATCTCAGCACCTTCAGGACTCAGAGTGAAATTCAAGTTCGTTCAGGTGGGCAGTGGTGTTCCACCATGGGCACCAGGAGCTTCCTGTATACGGCATCTCTGAAGCCTCAAAGCCTGGGAGATGCTTCTAGTATCTTCTGCCCAGGGTGTCAGGGCTGCTACACATCCTGCAGTACCCAAGACAGCCCACCCAATGGACCACCCCACCCAGACTGCTACAGCTGAGGAACCCTCCCCAGGGCTTCTGACTCCTTCTCCAGGCTCCTAGCTTGCCCTTCTCAACTGCAGCTACACAAAATTCATCCATGCTTTTCCTTGCCATTATACCTTCATTCTTTCTTCTAATTCCTGAAACCTGGAATTATACTCTCTTGTGACTCATCTTTTAAGCTTCAGCTTTCCAACGGTTTATATCCTCTATACTCACCACTCTGCTCTACACCTAGTTCTCCTCTTCACTTAACTTAGGTCCTTCAGGCAGAAATTGTATGTGCCCGGTCCTTGTTAGTATAGTGGTGACTATCCCTGCCTGTCACGCGGGAGTCCGGGGTTTGATTCCCCAATGGGAAGGCAATCCGCCCTTTTTTTGGGCTTTCCCAGGTGGTGCTACTGGTAAAGGACCTGCCTGCCAATGCAGGAGACAGAAGAGATGTGGGTTTGATCCCTGGGTCGGGAATATACCCTCGAGAAGGACATAGAAACCCACTCCAGTATTCTTGCCTGGAGAATCCCATGGACAGAGGAGCCTGGCAGGCCACAGTCCACGGAGTCGCAAAGAGTCAGACATGACTAAGCAACTTCGCATGCATGACAGAACTTACATAAACATACAAATCTGAGGGGTGGATGACTGGGTGAGAGCAGAGGTTCTTCAGAGGCTGCTGCTCGTCCCAGCGCCCATGATGCTGGCAACAGGTACAAGCATTGTTTTACCGCTGAGACGATAGTTGAGGTCAGAGTTTCAGCTCAGATTAGCTCTGCCTTTAGTTCCAAAATTCTATGCTGTAGAAGTCACTCTCTGGCCCTAATCTTCACCCACTTTAAAAAGCGCCCCACGGCACCCTGCATGATATTCCACTCACCCAAGCTGAAGACTGTGGGTTGTGACCAGCAGCTGGACGGGCTCCTCCGTGTGGCACGTCGGCCTCAAACCTTCTCAAGAACTCAGCAGTTTTGCTAGCAGAAACACAAACAGGTGTTAGCGCCCTCATAACAGAAGAAATATCCCTCTTTATCGTGCCTGCAGATACTAGCCTAGACTTCCATCGGGGATGACGAAAAGTGTCCTCGACAGAACAAAAGCGGAGTTTGTGGGCATGGTAAGAGTACAAGATCAAAGCAAAATGCTATTGCAAGATTGTACCTCACAGTTTGAAAAATATAATACTAGGCTTGTGGAATGTGAACCTACCGTTTCATTTTTTTCTGCTTCATGTCCTTTGACATGGAGATAAATGCCCTATCAGATTCCACAGTATGGGCGCTAATTTCCTATCTGAACACTTAAAGCTTTACGACTCAGACTTCAGTGCAGGGCTGTAGAATGAACACCCCTCCCCTGGTATGGTGTCCCTCACACCTTGCTGGTGCCACGTCAGGCCCTTCACCCTCCAGGGGTCCCTCTTCCAGTCATCTCACTGCCCCCGTGCCTTGGACTACCCTCAGGATACACAGAGCTGCTAAGCCCGTCACTCTTAACCATTTACAGGTCATGGGCCCCTTTGGAATTCTGAAAGCAGAAATGGCCCCTCTCCTTATACATACACACATCCCTTTGCATTTAATTTCCACCTTCCATGGAAGAAAGACGGGCTGCCAGTTCTGATCTGTATCTCTTTTTAGCTCTGAGAGATTGTGAAAGGTGTACCAAGACATAGCCCCAGTGTTTTTAATATTTTACTGATTTATTTGATTGCCAGGTCTTAGATGCACCATGCAGGATCTTGTAGTTGCAGCACATGGAATCTTTAGTTGTTGCATGCTAACTTAGCTGTAGCATGTGGGATCTAGTTCCCCAACTGGAGATCAAACCCAGATCCCTGTATTGGGAGCATGAAGTCTTAGCCAATGGACCACCAGGGAAGTGCCCTCAGTTTTAATAAGTTGATTTTCCCTTAAAAATCCAAACCATCACCCCAATTTCTCCCTCCACTGTCTCAAGCATAGAATGCTGGAATTGTTTCCTGGTCCTTACTTTTAACAACTGCCCCATTCTGCCTCCTGCTGATGAATTTCTATTGCTTTGTCCTTTCCCCATGTAGTTGGTGGAACTTTGATCCCCTTACTCTGTATTCACAGTCAAATAGCTCAGCGAGGCCTGGTTTATACCACACGAGACTCTGGCAGCGTGCTCTCCTTCTGCCTTTTCCTTCTGTCACCCCTCTGTTCCCCCTCATATTTTAGGCCTGATGCTAAGATCCAATTTATCAAGCATTTAGGGCATGGGTATCAAAGGAGACACAAATGGTCTGGTAAAAATAAATGGTATCCAGTGAGGACAGGAATCAAAATAAGGAATTAGAAGTTAAACAGAGATGCCAACATCACTTCAAATAATTACTTAGGTAGAACATGGCATCTGAACAAGGTCAGAATCTTCAGCTGGGAAAGGAAGAGCTGAAAGTTAAGTGATGAACATAACCCGAAGAAACAAGGCTTCAGCAGGCTGAGACAAGCAGCCTTTCCATTTGTCTTGGGTTGCTTATCTTGCCCAGAGAAGACAAGGAGACTAATGATGTCGCAGAAGCTGGAAGCTGCCCCATTGTCTGAGGCTTTATGAAGTCATCAGTCACAAGTGTAAAAAGAAGAGTGTTGCCAGAAGTTTGGTTGAGATTTCTCAACATCCGTAGCTGAGAGCAGACTCTGGGAGCAAGCAGCGGAAAAGAAGCACTGTGATAAGCAAGTAAGGAGCTTCAGACGAGGTCACCAGCAGCCCCGCACTGTGTTCTAAGGGATGTTTCTTACCTGCCAACGCCAGGCACAGAGCCGGCTGGCTAGGTAGCCAGCAGCCATGGCCTTTGTGCCTGTGATCACTGCCCCATTCATGCTACAAGATCAGAGCACAGTGACAGGGCCACAGGACTGCCAGAGGCATACCAGTAGGGGCCTGTGAAGCCTGTGGATTCCTCCCAAGTGATTAACTTTGCAAACAAGAGAAGTTCCAAGTTACCAGGCTAACTGGCATTTTTCTATTATCAATACAGTAAATTCCATAGATTGGCTGAACTGGATTGGAATGCTTGCAGGTAATTATGGTCAAATTCAATAAAAATAAAATAAAGAACCTCCTTGAGGCTCAAAAGGATGAACATCTACTGGAGAGGAAGTCCAACAAAACTAAGAACCCTAGACTCCAGCACTGAGTCACCTTTTTGTTGGGGTTCCTTCTTTGCCACCACTCTGACTCTGTCATCTAATGAGGGGGGTGATCCTCTCCCACGTTAGCACTTTAACCCAGGCACAAATACAGGATCCCTTCCTTTATTCTCCAGAGAACACCTGAGAATGGACCACCAATAACAGACTGGTTTTGAAGATTTCGTTAACTTTAATTCATCTCCAACTTAGGACGCTTAAGCATCTTTCCTACTTGTCCTTGTGGTGCCTATGGCTTATCCTAAAAGGCCTCTTCAGGGTAATATCTGCTGCTGCTGCTAAGTTGCTTCAGTCGTGTCCGACTCTTGCGACCCTGTAGACGGCAGCCCACCAGGCTCCCCATCCCTGGGATTCAGGCAAGAACATTGGAGTGGGTTGCCATTTCCTTCTCCAATGCATGAAAGTGAAAAGTGAAAGTGAAGTCGCTCAGTCATGTCCAACTCTTAGTGACCCCATGGACTGTAGCCTACCAGGCTCCTCTGCCCATGGGATTTTCCAGGCAAGAGTACTGGAGTGGGGTGCCACTGCCTTCTCCATCTGTTGTAGCAGATACTTCTAAATATCCATCAAAATGAAAGTTCTCTTCTAGTCATATAACCTGACCATATTTCCTAGCTTTCCATGCAGCTAAGGTTGGCCACGTGGATGTTCTGACCAAAAAAATGAAGAAGGAAGTAATGCACACCACTTCAAGGATGAACTGATAATAAGTTTCCCATGCATGAGCCTCCATATATTTCCCTCCTCCTTCTGGAGGTCTGGAATAGGGACAAGCCCTAGCACAAACCTGGAAGTCATTTGTGTATTGAAAGTGGGAGAACCACTGTTTGTGCTGTCTGAATATCTGCGTGGAGGGGGCCTCCTCTCATACCTGTTCTCCCATGTCTTACGTCAAAAAATAGGGCTCAAAAAATTATTTTATTTTGAGGTTTGTTGATTACAGCAATGAGCCAACCCTACTAATACAACTAATCCAAAATCACTACAGAAGGTGACTGAAGCCATGAAATTAAAAGACGCTTACTCCTTGGAAGGAAAGTGATGACCAACCTAGACAGCATATTAAAAAGCAGAGACACTACTTTGCCAACAGAGGTCCGTCTCGTCAAGGCTATGGTTTTTCCAGTGGTCATGTATGGATGTGAGAGTTGGACGGTGAAGAAAGCTGAGTGCTGCAGAAATGATGCTTTTGAACTGTGGTGTTGGAAAAGACTCTTGAGAGTCCCTTGGACTGCAAGGAGATCCAACCAGTCCACCTAAAGATCAGTCCTGGGTGTTCATTGGAAGGACTGATGCTGAAGCTGAAACTCCAATACTTTGGCCACCTCATGAGAAGAATTGACTCATTGGAAAAGACCCTGATGCTGGGAGGGATTGGGGGCAGGAGGAGAAGGGGATGACAGAAGATGAGATGGCTGGATGGCACCACCGACTCAATGGGCATGAGTTTGAGTAAACTCCGGGAGTTGGTGATGGACAGGGAGGCCTGGCGTGCTGTGATTCATGGGGTCGCAAAGAGTCGGACACAACTGAGCGACTGAACTGAACTGAACTGAACTAATACAACATAATATACACCATAATATACAACTGAGAATCACCTCTCAGTTTAGGTTATCAGTTTCACCAGGACATGAGGAGAGGCCAAGAAGGGCTGAGGAACAGTAGAAAAAATAGAATTCTCAAGGGTTAAGCTCATCATCTTAGTTATTTCAGAACCTTAGGGGAGGAGAAGGTGAGAAAGGGGAGGAAACCACCAGTCCTTAAGGCTGTCTCGGTGTCAGGTCTAGCAGCTGCCTAGGCCCATAGTGTAAAAATGAATAGGCATTTATCTCAGTACCACTAAGATTTGTCTGGTTTGAGGAAAAGTGGGGGTTTGGAAGGAGAAACTGGAGGGCGATCAAGTCAGGGAAGGAGAGGGATATGGATGGTTATATTGCAATATGATGGAATATTAATGTTAATGGCGATTCATCAATCAAAAAGTTCTTGACCTTTTTGAAAGGATAAGATATATGGGAAAGATCACAGAGAGTGAAATGTGTATGTGTTGGCTCATTTAAATAGGTCAGAAAGACAAAGATAATTCCTATAAGGCTTTTTTTTTTTAATTGTTAGAAAAGACAACCAGCATCTCTAACGTTCAAGGAGGAATCAGTTTATATAAAAAAACTTATAATAGTTACCAAAGGGGGTGGGGGTGGGGGGATAACTTGGGAATACGGGATCAACAGATGCACAGTACCATACATTAAAAAGATAAGCAACAAGGATTTTTTAAAAACAGTCAGTTTAAAAACGTTCACTGAGATCTGTCAGAGCTCATGAGTCAGGCACCCGCCACCCGTTACACCACAGGGCTACAAGGCGTGCCACGCATCTTCCTCTGCCTGGTTGCCCACATCCAACGCTGAACCATGACAGATAAGGAGGTGCTAATAAAAATGTTAAAGGACCCATTTTAACCCTCAAGAGTCATAATTAGGAAGGCATGCTCCCTGAAAAAGTAGCAGTGAGAAGTCTCTCTTGCCTTGTGGGGTGGATGGAGTAGTTTTTCCTTCTCTCATCACCTATCAGTCGAGACACAAACTCCAATACCTGCAGAGTGCAGACAGCGAGGTAAACGAGAGAAGGGCGCCTAGACAGAGGGCGGCCAAAGGAACACCTCTCAGTAATGTTCACAGTACACACACCGAGAACGCGCTAACCTAGTACAGTGCTTGCCACGCACCAGGTGTGTAGTGTGTTAGTCGCTCGGTCTTGTCCAAGTCTTTGTGACCCCAAGGACTGTAGCTCACAAA